CCTGTGGCGTCACCCGCGCTGTCCCTGATTCAGATACCCACTTCGGCGTACCTATTGCTCTATAGTCTTCATAGAGTCGGTTCATTCTCCGCCCACAATTAGCCCTTGTAATGAAAAGTATGAAAACTCACCTGAATTACATCATAAAGATCCCAAAAAAAAAAGCCAGCTAGCTATGGAATCCAAAAAGCTAATCAAGTGAGAGCTAAGATATGATACTACGAAACCAAGAGCGAACTCTCAAAAAAAAAAAAAAAAAAAAAAAAAACAACGCAAGCAGAGACCAGTTAAGAATTCAACCACTGATAAAATTCTCAATTTCCTATTTGCATAAAGCGACGTTGATGAAATGGAAATTCAACTTCCCATTTTCAAGCATTTCAAATATTCGGGAAAAAAAACAAAAAAAACAAAAAAAGAACAGAACGGTGACAATCAATTTATCAATACCAAAAAAGAAAAGATCACTTGCCAATGGATTTTTTTACAGCAGTAGAGACTCAACCCCCGCTTTCGTTGTAGTGCGCTCATGCGGAAAAGTGAGTCCGATTACATATCTGGTCCATAAATTACATAAATAAAAAAAAAACCTAATCGATTTCACCCTATATAGCACTTTTGTGTTGTGCTGCGTTGAGTCGAACGAACATTTCAATCACTGGATATTCATATTTTTTATGTTATACGAAGTAAAAACGTATATGAATCAGCTGGGAAAGGCGTTTATTTGATTCCTTCAAAGATTCAAAACTGATTTCTGTCGAAGCATGTAAACAAATCACAATCTTTCGGTTAATATCTTTGAATACTAGCTGGATCCATTTAATTATACTGATTAAACACCCAATACTGCCGACTACTGGACTGGAGGAAACAGTTTGGCGCCTAAATCATAAATTTAGCGGATACAGACGAGAACTGGGAATCTGTTGAAAAATCTCAGGACAGTTGAACACAATTCGATCGAAATCACACATTTCAAATCTGCGGTGGCTCTCGTTACTCATTTTATCTTCCTCACATCTCGGAAAAAGTCACATGGGTCTTCTCCAAGTACTCAAGTAGTGAATGGAAATCTCTATACATCACTCCTAAAATAGTATTAAATCAAATCATCCAATCACCTTCACCTCTAGTGTTATAACACGTGATTGCACAACTAACACCTGGTTAAATTCAGTGATGCGAGGTGTAAAGTCTTTCAAGAATGTCGCCCACTCTTCGTTTACGGACACGTGCGCCTCCGCCGAGTGTTTCCGTTAAGTTCGTACCTCAGTTTCATTCAGGTAGCCCACCTACAGCCCATCTACAGAGCAAACGAATGCTCTTTATCATTAGGCACCGGTTTAGCGGCCCAGCCCTCGGGTTTGAGGAAGAGAGGATGATAACGCTATCAACTGGAGGGGGTCGACACTCAGGAAGAGAGGAAAAAACAGGCAAAGAAAAGGACTACATGAAGATCCAGTGCCAAATGGGAGTGAAGGTGTGTCTCTGCGTGTGAGGTGTGTAGTGCTTTCGGCCGTATGTGGGCTGCAGGTGTCTCGCTCTCTTTCGGGCTCTCTCTCTCACACTAGGTTGTACTCTTTTAGGTTGTGCTGCAGGATGGTGTCCTTGACCGCCGCGAAGACGAAGCGGATGTTTTCGGTGTCTGTGGCGCAGGTGAAGTGCGAGTAGATGATTTTGTCGCTGTCCGGGTTCAGGTCCACAAACATCTTCAGGATGAATTCCCGGCCCGCCTGGGCGTCCCTCTGTGGACCTGCGGAGTCGGTAGATGAGATAAGTAAACAAATCACTGATTATGGAGACAAAACAGGCTACGGAAGCAAACCAGTATGTTTTTTGGAAGTGGTTGCAGTTCACAAGTCTACCACATGGTGTCAGTGTAGGCTTCATCTGAATATTAAGAGGACGTTACCATCAAACTCAGGGAAGTAGTCCACTAGGTGAGAGTACATGATCTTCTCCTCCAGAAGGTCCTTCTTGTTGAGGAACAGAATGACTGAAGAGTTCTGGAACCAGGGGTAGGTGATGATTGTGCGAAACAGAGCTTTGCTTTCCTCCATGCGATTCTGCAGATTTCAGAAAGAAAAATACCACAATGAAAGGGCGGCCCAGCTTCGACTGCGCTGAAGACTAATGCACATTACTGTCAAGCATCATTAAACGTGGTTAAATGCACTTCTAACTGTTCCATGAACACCAATTAAACAAATTGACGCATTTCTGAATATACTATACTGTAATGTTATACTATATAATGTACCATAAAAAATAAAAATAAAAAAGACGACGAATACTTCAAAGATTTAATATTGTTCAAGATAATCCAGGGTTATTGTGGGGTCAAATTTAAGAAATGTTTAAGTTTAGGGAAAAGGGCACAATTTGCAGTGGCACAATTTCTTAGAATGCATTTAAAAAAAGAAAAGAAAAATATATGAAACTTAACAACTAAAAATAATAAAATAACATTTTATATTTTATTAACGTACATTTAATAGGTTTATACACAGTAAAATGTGTAATATATTAATAATAATAAATGCCTAAAAAAAATATTAAAATAGAATTTTAATTTACAAATGTATTTTATATTCATTTTTTTAATAATTGTAAAACAACAAAACAAATCTATAAGTCTATACACTTCACATTTCACTAACTTCTACTTAGATTATAAAATATATAGATTATATTTTATTAAATGTTTTAATTTAATTTTATTGAATTAAATTTTATAGATTATAAAATATATTACAAAAAATAACACGGTAATATTAACACATAAAAAACCTATAAATATAATAATGATGAAAATATATGTACATAATACACATTCATTATATATATTAAAGCAAGTAAAATTAAGTATATATGAAGAGTTCAGATGCAAAATCCTCTAAATGCCATTTGAAATTTTCTTCTTTAATGATGATTTTTATCAAACTTGTATATTTAAGTTCAGTAATTTCACTTAAATAACAATAAATAGGTAATTATCATTGCCATTTAAGTGAAATCACTGAACTTAAATATACAAGTTTGATAAAAATCATCATTAAAGAAGAAAATTTCAAATGGGATTTAGAGGCTTTTGCATCTGAACTCTTCATATATTAAAGTAAATAAAAATAATTAGGCCTACATATAAATAAAACAAAATAAATACACACACCACAACAAAAAACCTAAATAAATAATCACCTCATTGTCAGATTCAACAAGGACCTGGTCGTATTCGCTCAAGGCAACCAGGAACATGATAGATGTGACATTCTCAAAGCAGTGGATCCACTTCCTGCGCTCTGATCTCTGCCCTCCGACATCCACCATCCTGAGACAGCGGTAACAGAGTATGAGTACACACAAACAATGGTTTGAGAAAAATGAAGGCTACACATAGTCCTTTTCCACTTGCATACGGTGACCAATCAGGACATTGAATTAAAATTACGAGTCCTTAAAACTAAGTTTTGTTGGTTGTCGAGAAAAAAAAAGGCCATTTCTGAATTATATTGCCCGTTTATTAAATCAAATTACATCTAGAGGCCCTGCAATGGCAGCAAAATAAATGGGCACTTTAGGAAGGGAACCACTTGTCATACAAAATTAGATGCACCTCAAAAATCACATGTCGGTTATCATTATATTAACATTTTGGCAGGAAAATCATGAGGTTAATCGCATTACATCTGGAATTCATTCTCACAAACATGCACAAATTAAGTCGTGACATTGCACAGTTTCCAGGTATCAACTGTTTGGATAAAACGTGAACCGAAAAAGACCAGCTCAAAACATGACGGCAGATCTAAAAACCTTCCCAATTTAGTACAAAGAATTACAGAAGTATCGTAACGGCAAAACAAGCGCGTAATTGTGATTTCTCATTGGACTGGAGAATGAATCTATGGTCAAGTATGGAGCCGGCCGTCTTCAGTTCAGTTCTGAAAGAACAGTGACATTGTTTCACAAAGGAAGCAAAACTCACACACTTACAGATCCACCAAAAACAAAAAGAGAAGTGTAGAGTTTCAGATGCACGCTGGGATTAGTAACATCCATGCAAAGACAATGAGAAGAATGGACATGACGGATGGGGTGAATGAGCGAGGAAATAGCGTGCTCAGACTTTGGCACTGTCTCAGTGAAGCCCCGGGACAACAGATGGAAAAACAGATACGCAATTCTAAGGTGCTCCAGGAATAAGAAAATGCTTTAATGACACGCTAAAAAGCTTATTCACAACAAGGGCGGTTATTGAGGAGAAGCTAAAAGTATATCATGGACAAAAAGTAATATAACGACAGTGTGATGGTAGATTTATGTATTGGTAATTAATTCTTTATGCATATATATATATATATATATATATATATATATAATTCCATTATAATTGTTTAGATAATATTATTCAAAAATTATATTACTTAGATTATATAGATGGTAAATAAAAGAAATGATTTAAAAAAGACTTAATTCAGAAATGAAATTCTTCAATTCAGAAAGTGATGTTACTATTAAAGTTAAGGTTTTGGTCTTTTTTTAATATGCCTATATTTAGTTTAATATGTCTATATAATAAATATAAATCTATTTTTATTTCCATTTTAGTACATCAAGTTTAATAAATATGAAAAAATTTAATCTTGGCAACTGGCTGAAAAAAAATAATTTTAAGTCATTTTACATTCATTTTATTTCAAGCAAATTACGCTGTTTTTATAATAATAATAATGCCTACAAAGTGCTTACAGTCAGTGCAAGTTTAGTCTCATTATAGATTTTATTAATATTTATCATTAGAATTTTGATAGTTTTCTATTTAAAGTTGTATTTTTGGAATTTATTTTTATACGTCAATATTGTTATTAATTTTATTTCAGTTTAAGTTTAAGTTGTTTTAGTATCTCATTAAATGAAAATGAAAAATGTTCAGAAACTAGGTAAAAAAAATATTTTTCATTGATAATTTTAGTAAATGCATTAACTAAATGTATTACATATTCACACAATGGCAGAAAATTATTCATAATTTACTCATTCTACCTTTTGGGAAGCCCTGGCATAATGTAATGCATAATGCACATCATGTTGATAAAGATTGGAAAATATATTTTTTTCTACATCAATATGGTGCACAATCACATTCAAGTGATGAACAAAGTAGTCTCAATACATTACCTAAACGTAATTTTCGTCACGTAATTTGTAATTAGTAGTAACGGACCACAATTAGCAAGTAATCTGCCCAGCACTGATTATATTTAGCATTAAAGCAGGCGAATAATCAAACTGCTTTTCTCGGTAAGGTGAACGGACCTTAACACTTCGCCTTAAATTACAGCGCATTACAAGAATATGGGCCATTCCCAGCTCAGCAGTCAGTAACGCTCACTGCTCCTAAATTAATGGAAATGTACGGAGACAACTCACAGGAGATTCCAGCTAAAACAAGGGAATAATCAGAGCAATTCTCAGCTGTGCCATCCCCCCAATCACACACCTGCACTCAGTAAGGGAAAACATTAGAGAGGGATTTTATTTTATGTAGGCAACACAGTCTCGCTAGCTCGGTCTCTAGCGGCCAGGCGTAAAGCTTTGATAAATGGACTCCTTCAGGAGCTACAACCTAAAATAAAGCCTCTTCAGCCAGCCTCCATTCCTGCAGGAGGTACAGCTGACCTACTTACGAGGATAAGCTCTCTAACTCTGGAGGACGAGGAGCCGGAGAGGAAGACAACTCAACCTTGTTACGGAATGTTTTGAGTTAAGTGCCGAACCATTTAGGTTACTTAACCAAAACACTTCTGGGTTTCGTAACGTCGCCTACAGGTTATTTGCATTTTCTAGTATGCATCACCTAAAACCACAAGTGGTCTTGATCGCACTAGATCTACCTTGACATTTACCTGGAATGTGACCCAGCCACCTTCCCAAGCCATTCTCTAGAAATGCACAATAAACATTCACAAATACATTATTTGTACTTGTCAAGCAAGATCAAGAGGGAACCTTGTTGTAAGTGAAGTTATTTCTGGCGCCGGTGTGCGTAGGAGGGGTTTGACACGCTGGCTTCCAATCGATTTGCGGGCTTTTGTGATCACCTCTCTTCAGAGGAATTCTCTCTCTCATCTCGGCTCTAAACAGAGGGGTTGTGGAGGGCTTCTCGCTGCCGCATCACCTGCGGTTCGGAAACATTCCCCCTTCACAAGCCTGAGCTCGAGCTCCTGCGCTAATGTGCTTTCGTGTGTTTTCGGTCCTTCGGTTGCAATGTGTGAAAGGTACTTTTGATTGTTGTCAAAGAACTCTGCCACCATCGTGGCATTCATCGCCACTAAAACAGTGATATCATGCTAGGATCTATACTTTTTTTGTAGCATGAACTCAATCTGGTTTGTGGTTGATAATTACAAATCTTACTATGGCCAAATATGGGTCAATTTGCATCCATGTGCTTTGAGCTCACAGGCAAAAAAGAAAAACATTGTGGGCTTTCAAGAATGTCAAACAATTGAAACTAAACAATAATTTAAAAAAATGCTTACGCATCAAAGAGACTTTATATTACTTGTTTATTTGAATTTGATTGCTAAATATTGTTAATTAGATTTAAAAGAGTAGGTTACTTTAAAAAAAAAAAACTTTTGCTGATAATTTACTCACCCCCATGTCATCCAAGATGTCCATGTCATTCTTTCTTCAGTCGAAAAGAAATTAAGGTTTTTGATGAAAACATTCCAGGATTTTTCTCCATATAATGGACTTCAATGGGAACCAAGAAGTTTCAGTTTCGTTCGTGACTCTCCTGTTTGAACTCGTTTATCAAAATGGACAAATCTTTTTTCGTGTCATTCAACGAATGCAATGAACGAGTTGACTCGGGAAAAGATTTGTTCATTTTGATGAACGAGTTCGAACAGGAGAGTCACGAACGTACATCACAGAACAGAGCAAGGCGGCCATTTGAGCTTTTTTTTTAAATGAGTGATCGTTTCGCTTGATAAGACCCTTATTGATCGTCTAGAATCGTTTAAAGCCTTTTGAACAGTTTGCAATGAAACCGTCTTTTGGACCTTGAACCGTTTGGTTCCCATTGAAGTCCATTATTATGGAGAAAAATCCTGGAATGTGTTCATCAAAAACCTTAATTTCTTTTTGTCTGAAGAAAGAATGACATGGACATCTTGGATGACATGGGGGGTGAGTAAATTATCAGCAAAAGTTTTTTTTAAAGTGAACTACTCCTTTAAATACAAAAGTGTTATTCAAAACAAAAACAAACAAAAGATTTGGTATCAAAATGCAAAATAGATCATTTAAAAACAGGCCCTGTTTACACCTGGTATTAAAGGAGAAATCCGGTATTTAGCACCGAGTCTATTTTCTAGTTTGTTTAGGAAGAACTAGAGTGGTGGACACAGAAATTTTGATGATGGGTCCTATCTGGACTTTTTGACTCTTTTAGAATCGCCTTTGAAAGCTTCAAACCGGCAAAGATGCGTTTTGGTCGATCGGATCACAAGTAGATGTATTTCAAGCATTTTAATTCGTCTCTTTTGTCCACTTTCGACCACTTCTGTCCTGATTTGGGGAGGTTCTATTGGCGGGTGTGTGTGTTTTTTCAGATCTTTCAATCTAATAGACAAAATAAGAATTTAAATATAAACGTGGCCGGAGACGACGGAGAAACATACGGAGGTCAGCAGCTTTAGTTTCTGCTCTGACAGACACAAGTCAGCGCCAAACGCTGTGAGTGTGTTAGAAATCAGAAATAGTGAGAGAACATTGTGAATGGTGCGTTTATCTGCAAACCAAATTTGGACTTCAGCCGACAAAGTTTAATGTTCCCATAATTAATAATGATGTGTTCGACTACCACTGGAAGTGGTGGAAAGTGGAAAAACTCAAAACGCTTTAGACCCAGTTTACACCTCAACCAAAAATGTTAATTCTAGGTGAAAACAGGGTCTAAAAGACTTAATTTCACCTTCTGTTTCTTGAATTTGATTGGTACATACAGCTAAATATATTTTATATTCAAAAAACAAAAGCTTTGGTATCAAAATGAAAAACAAAGGGGAAAAAAGTTAAATTATCCTTTTTAAACTTGATAAATAACAAAATATATTAAAAAAGAAAAAGAATTTTTTTTTTCATTTAGCCCCAGAACCTGTTGCTGGTTTAAAAAAGAAAAGAAAAAAGGACGACCACAAATCATTCAACAATCCCCGAAATTTCATACGATAAAGACAAACAAACGGATGAATGTTAATGAAGTTAATGATGCAAAGAGGTTAATGACTAAGAAGGACAATGACAGCCAATAACGTCACAGAAAAGTGGATGAAGTTATCGCACCTCGTTTGTTCAACTGGCCGTGATGGACCAGATCAACGCACTGATTTGCAAAATGTTACAAACATGGAGACATTCAAATGGGGAGGAGTCTTCGCCGGCATTATAATCTACCTGAAAATGATGCTTTGCAAGTCGAAGGGATATTCAATAATCCCTGTGGTAGGGATGCGAACCCTAAGCACGTCTTGCTGGGTCGGCAGATACGACGGCTCTGCGATACGGTCCAAATCGCTTAGATAGCTAGAGACAAGGAGAGACGGAGAGAGAGAAGGAAGAAGAAAACAAAATAAAGCATGGCAGCAGGTCCCTTTAAGAGCTTTGGAAAAGCAGTGAGAGAATGCCGCTCGGGGATCCTGGGATGCGACGGCACAACCTTCTGCTTACTCCGGTGAAGATCTCTACAGAGGTTCCCCGAAACAAAACTCTTTAAGAGTAGCAAAGAAACAACAGCAGCAATAGCTGAGCCCCGGGTGGGTGTGAGAATGCGATCAGGGAAGGCAGCAGTGCAGTTGCAACAGCAGCAGGTTAAAGGTCAGGAGACAGCGGCGGCAGTGAGGGTGTTGCCGTGGATTGGCGATACCTGAAGATTATATTCTCCAGGTCAAAGGGATACTCTATGATGCCAGTAGTGGGCACTCGGACCCGAAGAACATCCTGCTGGGTGGGCACGTATCCCGAAGTTGATATACGCTCTAAATCATTAAGGTAACTGTGGGGATGAACCGGTAAGAAACAGGCATGTACATGTGCATATACAGAACTACAGAAGTAGACCCACATGGAATTCACAAACTTTTCATATTTTCCTGCCAGTTTTGGAAAAGCTCACCCTCGTCATACCAAACTTGTTTGATTTAGTTTTGTAAAACAAAGGGTTTAAGGATTATTTTTTTTTATGCTGCTCTTTTTTCCCCATTCTAACTTAACCCAACTCATTCAGTTAAGAGTCGATAACAAGTCAAACCTGAAACAACGGGTTTTAATGTGAGTGAGAATGAGATTTTCAGTAGTGGTCGACCGATATATCGGTATTTTTTAAATATTGACCTCGGCCGATAACTTTTAGAATCTGTTGGAAGTAGGACTTTTATTTTGACGGTCTTTAGTTATGGTCTCTTAAAGGGGTCATATAATGGTACATGCACTTTTACAAGTTGATTGTACTGCAATGTGTGTTGTCAGTGCCTGTACACAACCATCATTTAAAGAGCCCCTATCATGGATTTTTGAAAATTACTGTTCATGTAGTGTGGAATATAGCTCTAAGGGAATGAAAACATCCTGCAAAGATTTATATTTGAAAGTGCACCGTATATAAAGTTATTGTCTTTCAAAAGTGAGAGTCGACTCTGAGTCTATGAAATGAATGGTTTTTGAAATGAGTCATTAACTGTTTTGTAGTGACGTAGATACGAAACATTGGCATATTGGCCGCGCCCAGTTACTGCGCGCGGATGGAAGTGTAAACTTGAAGTCTTTAGAGAACATTCAAAAACTTCAGCTGAATCGCATCATGTCGAGAAGACGCTGTGTTATACATTGCAAAGACAGTTCAGCCACTTGTTTTCATTGCCCAGGGACGAGCATGTGAAGAATCAGTGGTTAAGAGTTCATATTTGCAACGATACCACAACAGTATAGCCCGATTGTGTTCTCATTTTAATGACGAATCGTTCAAAAACATAAATGAATTCAAATGTGGATTCGCAAGCCGGTTGTTCGCGAAGGAGGGCTCAGTATCCAGTGTGTGTTGTGTACACTCCACGCAGCTACGTTTTTGATATTTCGTTTACGTTGTTTATGCAGTTTTGTTTTTGATATTCCCCAGACATTCACTGAAAAATGGCAAACCTCTTAAACGACTTAGCCAAAAAGTTATTTAAACCCCATTGCCGCTAAAAAGGCGAGGCTAACAATGTTTCACAAGCTTAATTTTCCGTATTTTTGCTCTATATAATAAGCACTGCCCCTCAAAATCTGCCGCAATGTTAGTTTCGGCGGGAAAGCTCGCTCTTGACGGAGAAGCGAGTAAGGGACCGTGTGGAAAGTGCACTTTTTCTGACACTTTGTTCATTCACTGAATACAATTTTCAACTCTTGAAGTTGACAAGCTACAATCCATTAATGGTGATGGGCGTTCCATTTCCGACAATCTCTGCCTACGGTTTACCAATAACAACTGACTGGGTCATTTGACCAATCGCCGCAGATTCGCGTCACTCAAAGGAGGTGTTTGGGGAAAATGAATCATCGGACGAATCATTTGGGAGTCGTTGAGCAAATCAGGTAAACATAAATGCATATTATAAGACAAATAAAGTGTTTTTTATCCTTGCATGCACGTTAAACAGTTTTTGGGAACTCCCAAAATAAAAATAGGAACATTTCAAATGCTATGATAGGAGCTCTTTAATGATAAAAATCCATCCAGTGGTTTTGTTTTAATCTCCTTATACGTTTTCCCCTGCCTCAAATCGAGCCGTTCGACGGTGTGAAAACACCCTAAAGCCATAATACAGTCACACCAGACATTGCGCGTGTGAAAACGCAATAGTCTAAATATGGCGGCAAACTCTGTGATTTCTTTTTAAAAAACTATTCAAATGTATAATATATACATAATGTACAATTTTAAATATCAGTCCTCTATTGGGCAGACGTTTTCATGTGATTGGACCACAGCAAGTAGTTTTCCGTTCCCTGTATTCACATACATATAGATCGAAGCTAATATATTGAAAAACCGCAGTGTGACCGAATCTTATGAGCCAAGATATCATATAAATTCAGAAGACATGGGCTTCTTTTATGCCATATTCTTGGATCTTGACAGCCTTTTCTCACTAGGATCCTTTTAATGTATTAAAAAAAAAGAGCAGTGAAAACACGCTTCAAAATGTCTTGTGTTCTACCAGGGTCGAAATAATAATTTCACAAGATTTTGGGAAAAGCGTAGATTCCATGTGGGTGTAACAAACTAATTATGCCATTGGTGAATTCAATAAATTACAATACTGTATTATAAAGGTCCGTTCACACCAAAGATGATAATAATAAAGAATAATCACTCTCATTCTATGAGAGGCCCACACCACAACTATAACGACACAGAGAAACAATATTTTTGGAATCGGATGAACAATAAAACATTGAAAGCCAATCAAAATCCACCTGACTTTGTAAAGCTCAACCATTTAAAGTGGCAGGCAACATTAGTGCAGTGCGAGCTTATAATAAAACAGAGCATAATTGCTTGTTGATGTGGATGCTATTACAGTTACACCATCGTTGTTGATGTGAACGGGCCTTAATACCGCATTTATACATCAAAATGGACTGTGCTTCTAACTGACCTTAAGACAAGAGAGCATTCAACAACTCATTTAAAAGCAATGAAGTTAAAAGGATCGAATGGCTAATGACAGCACACACACACACTTACTATTTAGTGGAGTCGGAGAGCTGGTACTCTCGCCTGCGGTCATAGGCTTCCTGGATGCCTGGATCCGCCCAGAGCATCTTTATTGCATTGACAAAGGGCTGTTCAAAGGAGCAAACCTTCTCCACATCAACATCTCGCACCAGCAGAGCATTGGGCTGTGGATAAAGACACAGTAAACAACCCAGTTTATGACTTAATGGCTGTGTAATACTAATGACTTCCAGAGATGTTCACAACCAACTAGGTCACAAGTTGTCGAGTTAAAGTTTAAGGATCTTCTTTAGGAAATATTAACTGATTCTTTAAAAGCAAAACATGAGAATAATTAACCCGTAATCCTGCACAGAAGAAAGACAGCTGACCATGGTGTGACAGCAATAAAATTTACAAGTGAGGCTCGTAGTGCTTTTTATTGCCATGTTTATGGCCGATCTGGGTTTGATTTGCATCTCGACGTGTACTCTGGGCATCAAATAGATGATTACGGCGCAGTGACGGCCAGGGATTGTCACCTTGTTCTCTTCGTATTTGAAGGGGATCTTGAGGTGCTCTGTGGCACGGATCATGGCCTGCATGGAGGTGAAGATGTTCTGGTAGACGAGTTTGGTGAAGCCGCGCTTGTCCTCGTCGGTGTAGCCTGTCCCGTGAATGATGCGCATCTGTTTGATGAACGTACTCTTGCCGCTCTCTCCCGTACCTGAAGAGAAAGAGAGAAAAAAACACAAATGTTGGAATAGGGTTAGATAATATAACTAAATTACAATAATATATTTACTACATAAATGTATTATTTTTGACAGAACAAAGATCACTTAAGCCATTTAGGCTAATGTTGATTTGTTAATCGTTTATTTCTACACATTAAATTAATAAATGATGTCGCACATAGCCTACACATTTAATAAACAGCATTTCATTTCAAACTAAAATACATTTATTACTATGATTATTATACATTTGATTTTAATATACAGTAATGTGTTAAACTGAACTAAGATCACTGGACACTTATTGGTATCAGAATGTATTTAATAAGCCATGTTGGCAAATATATTTTTGTACAAATTTTCTACTTAAAATAAATAGAAATTATAAACATACACGCATTTAATAATTTAAAGACACCTTGAAATTGTTTGAAAACACACAGCAAACAATTAGCCAAAATATTTAATGACAATATTTAATACATTTTTACACTTAAAGGGATACTCCACTTTTTTTTTTTGGAAATCGGCTCATTTTGCAACCCCCCCAGAGTTAAACAGTTGGGTTTCACCGTTTTCAAATGCATTTGGCCGATTTTCTGATATTTAGAAGAATATCAGAAAATTGGCTGAATGGATTCGAAAACGGTAAAACTCTGGAGTAGTTGTAAAATGAGCCGATTTCCAAAAAAAAGTGGAGTATCCCTTTAACATCATACTGCCTGAACTGCAAAACTGCAACATCATTATTGTACAGGAGTAATAGTAACTTGAATCATGCAGAATTTTAATTTGATGCATGACAATCCTATATTGGAATAAAATAAGTAAAAAGTAGTATGCTCCCCTCCCCAGAAAATCAACTTTGAGGATATACAAACTTTTATTAATTCAAGTTCAGGATCTAATCTTGCTGTTAACAATATTAACAGTATGTAAACACATACAGCAGCACTTTAAAATAGAAATCCTATAAAAAGAACCATGTCCCCGTAAACTTCTTTGGTCCTGATGACTCAAGCCAGTAAAAATGTTTCAGCCATCCCCAAAGTTCAACAATATGACTTCCCTGGAAACTTGGGAGGTCTTGGACCGGCAGGGGGAAAAACAAGTCAAGTAACTGTTCCAGTTTTCGAAATTTATCACGTTCTTGACAATACAATGTCAACAGAAAGTCACGCTTCGATTGGTATGATAACCAGTTCCACAAGTTTTATCTTGGCGTACCTACGATTGACATCCTTGACAACTGCCATTTATTTAAATAAACAAAGGTTAAAAAATAATAAATAAATAAAAAACGTGTAGGCCAGTCAATCTTGAATTGCAAGAACTACCTTTTCAGGTAAGCAAACAAACGATTTTTATATGAAGAAGTTGCCTGTGAATGTGATGTAATTTTTGTAACTTTAAACATGCATTTTAGAGTAATCAGACATTTTTTGTAGTGAATTTGTAATTACATACGCCATGGTTCTGGGTTTCTATTCAAACAAAGGTGTTTTATGAGTCACAAACACAAGTTTTTCAAAATTACATTAGTCTTTTCTAGAAGCCAAGGTTGAACGGTTCGTTCACACAAGATACGCTGAACCCGCAACGGGTTCGATTTCCCATCAATTTCCTGTCCCATCTCTCCCTTAGCCGAGTCATGGGTAGTTTTAACTCCAACAGCTGGATTCTCAGGCTCAGGCCTCCCTGCTCCGTCTTCATCTCCGTCTGCCGGTGGTTTGCTGACAGGGGAAACCCAATAAAAAGCCTGGTTGCATAACCGCTGCACTCCTGGCTCCCTCAGCTTGCCAAATAGCTGCACCTCCCTGAAGCTTTACAACAGTTGCTCCATAGAAATAGCACCACAACTGTTTGAACATTACTGGAGTACCTTGATATCAGGTTTTCCTCCATATTAGGTCATTTTAAGGGTAACAAACACACTATAGTTTGGTTCAATGACAATACGGAGACCATAAAAAGAAACCGGAGACCTGGTAGTGAAACTAATGCATGCGCAAAACAAATAGTGAGCTCAATTCTACAAAGTAAAGAAATAATAGATGGGTATTTGTCACCGTAAATTGCTGTTTGCAACCAATTCATTTCCGTAATTAGATGCATTTCATTGAAACATGATGGGCAACATGGTGAGGGGGGAATTTTATCCTTTGGGAATAGATTGGATGGTGAAAATACATACCCAAATGAAGCCCGACTGATTAATAATTTAAAAACAATGGCTAAAAAGCTTTCTATTGGTTAAAGGCTATTAACCAAACATTTAAGCAAGTGGCATCAACAGAGAAAATAAAATATGCAGACTATTAATAATAACACCACCAACAACTAAATCTAATTTAAAAATATTTAACTTATGTACACCACCAATCAGAAGTTGAGTAAACATTGAATCCTGGAAAAAAATCTCTTTTCAACATTGATTATCATAAGACACTTAATATTCAGCATAATTACTCCAGTCTTCAGCTTTGCCATCACAGGAATAAATTACATTTTAAAATATATTCAAACTGAAAACAGTTATTTTAAATTGTAATAATATTTCGCTGTTTTTACTATATTTTTGATCAAATAATTCCATCCTTGGTGAGCATAAGATAGTTCTTTCAAAGACTTGTACAGACCCCAAACTTTTAAAATATAGTAGACTACACGCCACGGCAATCATTAGTTCCACACAAAAAGTATGACATTGCATAAAATATTATGAAAAAAAAATAATAATAATAAAACAGTGGAAACGAATGAATTGTGCATAAGACCAAGAATATGTAGTGTAAACGTTGCCAAAATCTCCTAAGAACTACACAGGCACTGACTCTTAAATATGACCGGTCAAAAGTCAAGGTGACGAGGCCCATGGTCTTTTTATTGGGGAAGGACACAGCGTTCAACACCAGTGAGACTGGATCCATCCTATATTCAAGTCTGTGAGCTCACAGTGCTGCAAAGCAGGTTACCATGGCAACATTTTTAAAGCATTTACCACAGCAATGATTCAAAGAGGAGACATACATTAGCAAGCCCTGCTCTTCTTTCACCATCAAATGTGTCAACCCACCAACAGAAACAAAATGGCAAGTAGAAATTAGCAAATTTGTAAAACAATTTCTGCATTTCAGCCATGCCAAGTTGCTGCTTGCAACAAGATGATATATAAAGCCAATAAAATGGCTTTGCAATAATAGCAATGCATGTTCTGTATTGTGAAAGACTACTGGACAAGGAAATGAGGCGATGGTCCTATACTCGACTCCCTGACAAAACTAAATGACAAATATAGCTAAAAGTACAGCTACAATTAAAGACATTTATATTGATTAGACTGAGTGAAACAAGATTAAAAATAACCAAAAAAACAAAATCATGTAAAAATAAACAACAATGACTGTTGCAAAGACTGTTGTATAGACCTTATTCGCAAACACCGGGAGTAGCTAACCGCGGCCATATTGTTAACATATCGGTCCTGCTGCTCCTAGCCTCGCGCAGTAGCCTGGCTTCATCTTGTCGGTATCAAGAGAAGATAAGCTTGATTGGTGTGGACCCACATCAAATAATAGCATCAAGTAAAGATCCGTCCTTATTGCCAGCCGTAACTTATCCGGATATTTATAACTCATTCGTACAGTATCCGTATACAAACTACAATTTACCTCAAGGCAACATAATGAACGACACTCATTCGTGGAGGTGGAAAAACAAGTTTTTTGTGACATGCAAGATTTGTTGTATTAAAATGTAAATGCAAAAGAAAAGACGTGTCGGTTGTTTTCGCCAATTTTAAGTTTTCGTTTAAAATGTTTGCGATTTTAATATAGGTACATGGTTACATACTTGATGACTTGCTTGAGCAACTTAATATATAGAAGTAATGCATGGAATAATTAGCTTACGTTGTTGAAATAGTGAGTATTCGTTCAAATAAAAATAGTGAGTACCGCGGATGTACCGGGTACAGCCTCGGATCAGTTACGAACTGCAAACGCAGCATATAAAGCACTATAGCGCGTCCTGCTTCTGTACCGTATACGCAACGCACACGAAATATTTGTGAAACCTGTGGTAAAATGATGGGAAAAGACTTTGTGCAAAGTTGGCTGAAAGTTTAGCCTATTTATCCTAGCTAGCCTCTCCTGTGCTGGCTCAACTCTGTCTCCGTCCCTTCACGTTTTCTGACAGTCGGTAACTTATCGCATAAAAACTAACTGCTTGGTTTTAATTGCTGTTAGAACAGCCGTATATTACACAACACACCATCACGCTGTTTAAATAAAAACAAATGATAATACCATGGTTAATACCGACGCTGCCTCAGTTGTCAATTGACAGACTGACAGTTGCCGTGGTTTCTATGTCAACAATATGGCCGCCGCAAACATTGATGATGCAGATCGAATAACATCCTCCTTTTAAAACAAATAAAAATTAATTTCACTTTACATTAAAGTGTTACGGTTGATTTTCAAGCCATTTCGTATTGTTACAAATGTTGGTAATATAGCTAATGCAATGTAAATGTACAATGTTTACATTACACTGAGTAATGTAATGTAAATTTAGCAAAAGATCACCGGATGACAGCAAGCGATCAAGGGCTTTGTGAAAACTACAGATTGTACTTCTGCATTTTGGTATCCCCACCCACAGAAAGAGGGTGATTACTTGATAGCCTGGATGAAACTTTCATCCAGCAGCGACTTCAGGCCTCTCTTGGGGAAAGCCTCCAACAAGAATACCCTGAATGACACTTGAGTCTGCTCAAGTCTACCATCCTTGCAAATCCATTCTTGGGTACAACTTCAAAAAAACACCAGGACTGGTTTGATGAAAATCACACGGAGATAGAACTCATCTCAAAGAAAAGGAGAGCCGTTTGTACCAGGCAAAACGATGTGCGGCCATCATGACAAGTATATCAGAATACTGAAGCTTTTACATGATGGAATGTTGGTCACACTGCTCAGCAACGGTG